GACGCCACGGAATTGTTGGCCGTGGCGCTGTTCCTGCGCACCCGGCATTTCAGCTCGGTGAGATTGGAGAAGTATCGACTCTTGAGGGAATGAGGTGTTCGCACCTCATCTGTGTACATATTTTTTTAGAGCACAATTTAGTTAAATTTTCTTGAAAATTGATGGCCAAAAATGCGCCTGCTTCGACTGCAGGCAGATGTCAGTATTTTCAAATGCATCAGTGTTGGCAAACACCGCTAGCGACCTATCGAATACGTTGCTGTTTGAATATAGAATTTAAAAAATATATATTTCAAGGGAAGATCAATAGATTTGTGACTCTTTCAAGTGGTCTATGCGCCTTTATCTATTTATTTTTCAATATTTTATTGCAACTATTTGCTTTTCGAATAATTTTAGTATTTTCGGAGTGCGCGCCACTCAATCGATAGCATGTCAGCTGTCGCAGCAACCCTGTTTCGATTCAGCTGTCGCTGCCGACTGCGTTTTTCGCGTACACATACGCGTTTGCTCTGCCCTCTGCCCGTGCGTGTGTGTGTGTTTGGTATGTGCGCGTGTGTGTGTTGGCTGCAGAAACAGAAACTAAGCGAAAAAGCACAAAATTAAAATTAAACAAACGCCAAATTTAGTGAAACGGAGTTCCTATTTTACAGCACTTGTGTGTGTTCATAGCAAAAGTGGCCAAAATTCGGCGAAAACAGCGCAAGTGTGACAAAGCATTCGTGCCGCAGCCGTGTTCCAAACGAACGAAAACAAAAGAGAATAGTGTTGATAGTACTACAAGCGTAATAAGTAGCAGCAGCAGCAGCACCCACAGCGGCGGTAGCGTCGTCGTTGTCGGCGGCCTAAACAGCAGCGGCAGCAACAACAAACGATTCTACACAGGGCCAGGGGAGGGCCGGGGAACGGCCGAAAACGAAACAGCGGCAGCAGCAGCAGCAACAACAACAACAACAACAACAACAACAACAACAACAACAAAGGCAACTGCAGAGTCAGCTGCCGGCCGGTGTGTGGCGACTGAGGAAAACGAAACTGTTGCTAGAAGTGGGCGTGGCGGAGGTGCTGAGGGTGGAAAAGAGGAGGACAGTGACGGCGACAGCGACAGCGAGAGCGGTGCAAAGCTAAGAAAGGGCCCACTGAATCGGGCGCATTTGTCGGCCTGTTTGCGCACAGTGGAAAAACTTGCCATTGAACTTGACGTCAGCACTGACGCCAAGAGCATCGCCAGCAGGGAGGCGAGCGGTGTCATGTCGGAGACGGGCTGCCGGCATTATCAGAGCTACTTGAAGGAGCACGGATATGATACATATCGGGTCATCGATGCGTACTTTTCTGCCTGCGTGAACCAAGATGCGCGTCTGAAGAAGGTGAGGGAGGGGGAAGAGAGCGAAAGAGAGAGAGAGCGCGAGTGAGAGAGTTACGGTTATGTGTGCGGTGGGGTTCACTGACACACAATCCATAGAGACGGGGGAAGAAGAAGATCGGCGTGTGTGTGTGTGCTGTCAATAAAGTGATTACCGAACCAAAATTTGATTGGCGGCCAACTCTTTTGGTGTGTGTTTTAAACACTGCCAACCGTTACAACTCAAATCTTGGCCTGGCCATCCCCTGAGCGCACATGTGCAGTGACATTTGTGTAACCCTTTTTGTAACCCCCACCCCTAGGCCACACACTGCTACTGCTTCGAGTGCGGCAGTGCCAACATCCAGCTGTACGCCTGCCTGCACTGCATCTACTTTGGCTGTCGGGGCGCACACATCCACAGCCATTTGCGGGCCAAGAAGCATCATGTGGCGCTGGAGCTGTCCCACGGCACGCTCTACTGCCATGCGTGTCGAGACTTTATCTACGACTCGCGCAGTCGGGAGTATGCGCTGATCAACCGGAAGCTGGAGGCTAAGGATCTGCAAAAGAGCCTCGGCTGGCAGCCCTGGATACCCACGGCCAAGGAGTCGAATCTGCTGCTGGCTAATTCCCGGCGCCGACTGGTGCGGCCCAATCAGACAATCGGACTGAGGGGTCTGCTCAATCTGGGTGCCACCTGCTTCATGAACTGCATTGTCCAGGTGAGTGGTGACTTCCAGGAAAGAAATTCCCCCCCCGCATCACCAAATTGTCATCCCCCCAGGCCCTGGTACACACTCCACTGCTGAGCGACTACTTTATGTCGGACCGGCATGACTGCGGCAAGTCCTCGCACAAGTGTCTGGTCTGCGAAGTGTCGCGTCTCTTCCAGGTGATGCACAACCTGCCGCTTGCCACTTGCCACTTGCCACTAATGTTGCAACTCTTTTTCCCTTGCCAGGAGTTCTATTCGGGCTCCCGTTCGCCGCTGTCGCTGCATCGCCTTTTGCATTTAATTTGGAACCATGCCAAGCATCTGGCCGGGTACGAGCAGCAGGATGCGCACGAGTTCTTCATTGCCACGCTGGATGTGCTGCATCGGCATTGCGTCAAGGCCAAGGCGGAGCACGAGAGCAAGAGCAACAGCTCGGGTTCGAGCAGCGGCACCAATTCCACCAGCAGCTCGACAACGTCCAGCTTTGGGCAGTGCAACTGCATCATCGATCAGATCTTCACGGGCATGCTGCAAAGCGATGTGGTGTGCCAGGCCTGCAAGGGCGTCTCCACCACATTCGATCCGTTCTGGGACATTTCGCTGGACCTGGGCGAGACCACAACGCACGGCGGGGTAACGCCCAAGACGCTGATCGACTGCCTGGAGCGGTACACACGGGCCGAGCACCTGGGCTCCGCGGCCAAGATAAAATGCTCAACCTGCAAGTCCTACCAGGAGTCCACCAAGCAGTTCAGCCTGCGCACTCTTCCCAGCGTGGTCTCCTTTCACCTGAAGCGCTTCGAACACTCGGCGCTGATCGATCGCAAGATCTCATCGTTCATCCAATTCCCCGTCGAGTTCGATATGACGCCCTTTATGTCCGAGAAGAAGAATGCCTACGGCGATTTTCGCTTCTCTCTGTACGCGGTGGTCAATCACGTGGGCACCATTGACACGGGCCACTACACGGCATATGTGCGGCATCAGAAGGACACGTGGGTAAAGTGCGATGATCATGTGATAACTATGGCATCGCTCAAGCAGGTGCTGGACAGCGAGGGGTGAGTGCGGGAGTCCACCGAGTTATGCAAACTTTAATTTTCGCTCTCTCTCTTTTAGCTATTTATTGTTCTACCATAAAAATGTGCTGGAGTACGAGTAAAGAGGGAGCACAAACGCACAGACCCATAGGCACACACAATTAGCATAACAAATACACACACAGAAACACAGACAAGGCCGCGGCAGCGTTTACAATTTAAGATTATAATTTAACGAAAAAAAATAAGGAAAATCCACTTATAAAAGTAAGCCCGCGGATTGAACAAATAGAAGGGGGGAAAAAAATTCAAAAAAAACAAAAACTTGTGCGCCCAACCAACTCTCTTTAATGTGTAATCTGAATCAATCCTGGCAATGCCCTTATTGTTCTAAGTATTTCGAAAATCCATAATCATAAAAACTAAACAAATGCTAAACAACATTTTGATTAACAGACATCGAGACGCAGAGATTTCGATTCCGATTTGGGAAATAGATCTTACATCGCGATCAAGAAAACAGCCACACACACAATGCAAACACTGATAGGCGAAAACCAACGATCTAGGCACAGGTGGTTTTGGGTCTAGCAATTTATTTGCAAAATGTTAAGAAATTTGAAGGTTAGAGCGGAAAAAAAATTTAATTTATGTCCAACTTGGGCTCGTCCGGGAATTGAACCCGGGACCTCTCGCACCCGAAGCGAGAATCATACCTCTAGACCAACGAGCCGGTTGAAGGTGGAGCGCCCTATTGTGGATTTAATGCGCGGGCTCGCTCTCTGTTGGTGCATGTTTTGTTCATGCGTCTGCAATGCGAGTGCGAAAGGGATGACTATAGTGCGAAACTGGGTGCTATTTCAAAACGTGACGCTGCACAGCACTGTACTTTGAAATAAATACTCAAAAATAAATACTTTTAACGCGCTTTCAACTTTCAACCAATCAACATGTTTTAAAAAATCAAAAGTGCTGGAAAGCGTGGAAATGTAATTTTGGTTGTTGTCCGTGCTAGAGTTGTGCTTTCCGTTAAATGAAATAAATTTTAAATATAAAGAAAGTAGTAACTTGTAAACGCTGTGTTGACAATGTGCTCTTTTGGGTTATGCTAGGAATACATTTATTTGCACATCTTTAGGAATATCTTTCGTTTGGGATTTTTGATTATAAGTCTATTAATCTACGACCTTTAACTTGGTTTAGTTGATTAAGTTATTCTAACATGTGAATCGATTTTAGTTAGTAAGAAAAATAAATAAAGAGAATGTTTGTTCACATTAAATTGAAATAATTCATTTGCAAAGGCGCGGTCCATGCATACACGAAGCCCCGCCAAACATCAGGCTCGAGGGCGGGCATCACGGACACACAGGGAGCAAGAAAACTTTCCAACATATCTTCACTCTATTTCCTATTTACATTCGATTGCCGCCATTATCGAAAATAAAATTATATTCTTTTTCGGACTTTGCTATTTACATTCTATTACATTCCATTCCCGCCATGTACTTTGAAATTCTACATCGAAAATAAAGAAATAAATAAATATATAAAATAAATACCATCAAGTCATGTTACATGAATCCTTCAACAGGTGCGAAAAAGGTGGGAGCTTCGAAAAGTTCGTCCTTTTTTACCTGCTTGCATTGGATAGGGTATCAAGGATGTCCTGGTGCGCCCATTAATAATTTGATAAAGTTATAGTATTACCGCTAGGATTCCTAACTAGTTGGTAATATTGTTTAGAATAGCAAAATTAAGGAAAGGGTATAACATTTACGGTATATTTTCGGAATATTTTTTAAATGACAAGATATATTTCGGTATTTGATCGAGAGTCTAGTAGTATATTTAATCGATAAATCCGCGGTCACACTGTTGGTAAGCACCGTTACTTGAAATTGAAAAAAAGTAAAGCGTCATTATCGTATATAAAGAAAAAATGGGTATGATTAGCAATTACAACAAGTGGGATAAGTGCGGCTAAAGATTATTTACATTCCGGTACCAGAAGGAACTGATGAGAACGCAATTCACGCACGCCTGAAGTCGATTTACGCGAATCTGCACGGATCGTCGTCGCACGGCGTCACACACCAGCGGGCAATAAAGCCCTCTGCTCAGAAGAAAACCGAAACGCAGTGGAACACACACGAGTACGTGGACGCTAATAATAATTTGGAGTACGTCGAGCACAATATCGAGTCCAATGTGCCATCGAAGAAGGTCATTATTAAGACATGCATTTGCGATCGTCCAGGAAAGGCGCTCGAGTGTGGCCGCTGCCACCAATACTTCCATGGCCGCATTGCCGCAAAATGCGAGAAGCATCCAGCGGTGAGTTCGACATTTTTTACTGTTATGGTTGTGGTTACGGTTACGGTATAAGATGTGTCCACAGGAGGCTTTCTTGATGGACTTTCGCGAGTGCCCCTACTGCACGGCTAACCATGACCAAATCAAGGAATCTAAATTGACATGGGCTGAGATCCGCAAGATCGAGGACGCCGTACTGCCCAATGATGATTTATAAACGCGAGTTTGATACTCGCCAACAGCATAATTAATTTACATAACCATAATGTATCGATTGTGCATGAAATTACAATTATCTTTCTTCAAACATTTGACGGTCTTTTTCTGTTGCCTCTTTTGCCTAATATTTCCCTATAAAACCAAACATAAGACACACACCAGCACACATGCCAGGGCATCTACTTTTCAGGGCGACATTTATGAAGTGCTCAATGTCATCGTTGAAGGAAGCTCACATAAGCTGTGGTAAAAAAGGAAGTGCAGCACATGGGCATGACCGCCATAAAACCAAATGGCCTAGTCACACCAGCTTGACACCAGCAGCACCACCGTCACCGGAAGCATCAGCACACCCCAGTGGAGGAGTGACTTAACACTAAGTAAGTGCATTGAATTGAAGTGCTGCTAACGTTTTTATGCTTCTACTTTTTTTGTTTGGGTTTCCAGTGAGGAATTCTAAAAGCCTGCAGCACCTTTTGAACAGAACGACTGCTGCAGGATGAGATCAGCAGAAGCTTGTGTCTTCCAGCTGAGTCATAGCTGCGTCGTGCATCTAGTTTGTGCGCTGGCATTAACCTATCTGTCATCTCAATTGCAGTGGCGGATTCTATGCGCAACTCCCAGCGGCAGGGCTCCATTCAAATCAGCGAACAAATTCATGTCACCGATAACAATTCAATCACTTAAGAGTTCAACACATTTTGGAATCGCTTTACAATCGCCCCTAGAGCGACCCACTCCATGGGTCGAACTGGCAAGTTGCACCCGCCGGACGGACACATTGTGGTGGTGTTGGTGCTTGGTCCCAACTCCTGCTGGTAAGTGCGGACGCTTTAGATTGCATTTGCTTCTGCTTATTTTCTCCCTTTTCCCTTTTGCTGCAGCAGTATTCTCAACAACTTGCAAAGCCATTCAATGGATTCACTTCTGCTTGAACTTGTACCACTTCTTGGAGATCCGCATTCTGGTGCTTCAACAGGCGCCTGCCTGCTGATAAATCTATGATGCTGCAGCCTCTGACCTGCTCGAGTCGGGTTGCTGCAGCTCTCGACTTCGTTTTGCCTTCGACTTGAATGGGGTCGCAATGGCTGCTATCAAGTCCGTTCAGGACTTTATTTGGCTAGCACTTGAGCTGCGCATACTGTATATAACTTTATAATGATCTACATATGTGAGGTAAGCCCCTGGCTCTTGTACTGGCATTTTGTGGCTCAACATATGTACTTTACAGGTGGAAAGTCTTGACAAATGCTTTTGCAGCTGCCACAAGTGGAAGTCATAAAGTAAGACCAAGAAGTGAAGGATTTATGCATGGATTTGTAGAGTGAGTTAAGAGACTTTTAAGTGGGTCTTTCTGATAGTATTTCTGAACAGATATTAGAGCTAATGTTAATAGTGTTTAATTTGAGCTCCATCTGGCTGCTAATGTCCCCTTATTACTGTCAGCTAATCCACAAGTTTCCAGCAGCTTTTAGTTGTTAATGCTTAACTATAGATCTAAGAAAACAACATCTAAAGCACTTCCTCCGCCAGTGCACGTCAACACCCTGCAATTCCTTCCTTTTGTAACTCGTTTCAAAAACAGTGGCCTGCCCGCCCTATCCCCAAAGCTGGCGGCATTGAGAGCGACAGCAGCTAACCAACTGGACACCAGTTCAGACTTGGTCTCACTGACAGTCCCCTGTGTCCCTCCGCCCGAGTGTCTTTGGCCTCTGGGCACTTTGGAATAACTTGGACAATTGCTTTCATGCTGATTTCGTTTAGTTTCGCTGCGGCCCTCTCTCTCAGTCAGTGTCTCGGGCCAAACAAGTTGCTTTTAAACTCATTTAAAGTTCCTCTTGATGGCGGCAGCTTAACCATGTATTAGCACTATTTTAGAGGCTGCCAACCAACGACATTTGTTAGGGTTGCGTGCAGGGCTAAATATTCCAATTAGTGTTGCTGTCCAAGAGATTTCGTTTCCTTAGTTGTAGTGTCTGTGAATAATGCAATTGTTTTAAATATTCATGGAAGTCTGACTGTGCTTTGCCTTGTTTTTAGTATAGATGGTAGCTGGGATGAAAGTTTATGTTTTGTGTACCTTATGATAGATATTAAACCCATTGTCACTTTATGAGGCAATTTCATGAGCAATATTGTACACCAAGTGATTGTTTTTCTACCACACTTTTACTCTCTATCTTGTTCCTGCTTGTTCTTTAGTTCACAGCACTGCTGCTTCCTCCTTTAAATCGGCTGGCTGCACCCTTTATGCTACTCCTCCTCACTGAAGAATAGACAAAGATGGGACTTGAGTACCCCTGAGCCGCCTGCGCCATTGTGTTGCGTGTCCAGGGCTGGTGCTGCTTGCTGCTTGCTTGACTGCAGCTTGCCCTCTTTCCATTATTGAAGTGTGCACTTCCGCTAAATGGTATTTGGGGCAAGCACATAAGCTTACCCTCTGCCCAGCACACTCTTGTGTGCCCCCGCTCTCGGCCAATACTGGCGCTGAATTTAGTGGCACTTGCAATTTTTATGGCACACAATGAAAGGGAGACACCAGGCCAGACACTGAGGGCACAAAATGTGTGCCAGCTGCACCACCACCCAACCCATATACATTGACATTGTTCCACTTGTGGAAAGATTTAAATTTATTTGCATGCCATTCATCCTAATGGGAGGCGCTAATAAAGATATACATTTCGAAACTAGGCCAGACAAGGCCTCTTCAGCATTTGCTGCTCTGCGTTAATCCATTTGTAAATTGCTTTGAAAATAACAGATACAAAAAGAAATTAACATTGAATATTCTTTGCAGTTTTGGGAACCTCAAACTTACTCCAACGTGAACCCATGACAACGGGGCAGCCCGCATGACTTGAGAGCTTCTCGGGTTCGCCAGCATTGTTTAGGTTGTGCCAGATCAAAGCTTTTCCCTTCTTGGGCGCCACAGATATTTTTAATTTGGGAAAAACATTCGCTCCACCCAGCTGCACGTCGCTTGCCTAAAAAATGTTTCTAAATTAACAGCTCATGCGGATGCAGATCACTTACAAAGAGCACAACTGTGGCCAGCACATCGCCTCCCCATTCACTGGATGAAATTGCACTGCCAAGACGGAATCTCCCACTAACCGGACGCTTGATGTCTCCACCCAGATCGTAGTTGGACATGTGCAAGGCTGTGTTACCCTGCAGCTCTAGCCCCGTCATGTCTGCTATGCGTTGATTGATCCTCAAGGCGACAGGCTCAGCGATTTTCAGCTTTGCCAATCGATCTTCGCGCTGTGGCTTGCTGGACTGTTTATACATGCTGTCATTTATGTTGGCCATTTCCCGCACTGACTTCAATTCCTTTTCGTAGAGCACCTCGTGGTAGAGCACTATCAGCGGTTGCTCGTTAAGAACTTCCATTTTGAGTGGTGCCAGTCGCAGAAAGGCAGAGTTCTTTCGGTTGTAGCTGCAGGTTAGTTGAGCGGAGGACTGCCGGGGCCACCATCCACGACATCCGCGCTCTAGCCTGGTGGGTTTGGGCTTGTGTTGAGCTGCCTCCTGCCTCAAGATCTCCTCATCTCCCTTAAGGTATTCGTCTAGGGCGCTTTTGATGCTGGGAAATTTGTCCTCGGCGACCATTTCATTGGCCAGTGTCTCCCATTCGGGGTTTATCTCCGTTGGAATAGACAAAGAGAAGGCTAAGAAGAGAGTTTGGAAGAGTTTTAAGTGTTTTATAAGATTTGCTCACCCTCCATGACCAACGAGTTGGCAAACTTTTGGTAGATTCTCTTTCGCTTCAGTCCCAAAACCTTCTTATAGAGTTTACCCTCGGATCTCTGGTGCAGTCGAAGGGCCATGCGATACCAGGGCGTGCCTCTTGAAAATTGCGTTTGATTGTAGTGAAATTCGGCCAGCGCAAAGCAGTCGGGTGCCGTCAACTGAGAGCTAAGAGTACACATAATTTCCGCATTAATTTCAAGCTAAAGTAAGTAGAGGTTAACCCACTCGAAGTGTTGTTCCAATAGGTAACCCTTGGCCATGTCCGCTGCCTCTTGATCGTAGAAACTTTCGATGCGCGCGAAACCTTTGAGTACCACTTGCAGATCATCATTGCTTGGTGCTAATTTCAATTTTGTTTCCATTGCTTTTGTTGTTTTGCTGGCAATATCCGTTCGTAGATAATTCAACCACTTGGGCCAATCCTGATTGAGGCGTCGCAGCAGGGGCAATGCATTTAGCGGATTTCCAATAAATTCCTCCTTTTCTTCGAGAGTTTTCATTGGCTCCCTGTGCAGCATCTGTTGGAAACTGCAAAAGGATTGACAGATTGAAATTTGAGCAAGTTCTGGCATGTCTTACAGCTTTAAGGCATCCAATTTCGTTTGCATGGCTTGGATATAGGTCGCCAGGTTGTGCCTTAAGGCATCTTCCATAGCCAAAAGCTTGACCATGCCCAGCAAAGAGTTGCTGTAGATCATCGTCTTCTCTGGCCCTTCCATGGCAACACATAGATGCAGGAGTAAAATTAAAAGTTTGAGTTGCCAGAGGAACTTCATCTTTAGCTGTACTTTGATTTGCAACTTGCACAGTTTTTGTGTTGTAATTTATCCACAGCTGAAAATTGCAATTTCCATGGTGAGTTAGTTATAGATTCTGTGGCATTTCCTTGTTCCTAGAAAGGGCATTTTAATTTCTCTAATTTAAATTCTGAAACTTCTGTATATATTTATTCAGCTTGATGTTATCTTTTGTTTTATCATTTTTAGATGTCCTCCTTATAACCTGGAGACTTCTTCCTGGGCTTGCAAGGCATGACAAACATTTGAGGCACAATATGCAGCCATTTGGTAAGAGCTGAAAACACATATAATTCATACCATAAAAACATAAAAAATAGTGTTAATAACCTACTCCATCTATCCCCTACGATAACAGGGCACACCGAATGCTGACTGCGAATATCTGGCCTGCCATCGTCGTATAAATTAAACCAGAACACGCTGCTACCTTTGCGTGGAAGAATTGAGACACGATTGCGAGGAAACACCGTGGCCCCGCCTTGCGGCACATCGCTAGCCTGTGGAGCATGAAAGTGGAACTGTAGAAGCTTCCCTCCCGGAGCAATGTACGTACTTACATAGAAGATAATGCTGCCCAAACGATCGCCCAAGGTTAGGACATCGGGCGTCTCGTAGCCATCGGAAGTGTAGTCGTAATGTGGCTTGAAGTGGGTGCCCAGGCCGTAATTGGCCACCTGTAGATCCTCTGTCGGTGCGAAATCGAAGCCAGTCATATCGGTTATGCGTCTATTTATGCGCTCCCTAATGGTTGACCGTTCCGACCACCAGGAATGTCGGCATACTATGTCCCTGATCGTTTTACTGTTTGGCTCCTTCGCGTCTGCCCAGCCATTGCTCATTTGGCTGGAACGCCGCTTAATTTCCTCAATTTCTCGATCCGAAAGAACTTCGTGGTACATAACGATATATGGATCGTGGTTTACCTCCTCCATTTTCAGTGGTGCCAGTCTCAGGAATGGTGTCGTGGTCGAGTTGTAGCGACAGACGAGATTCGTACGCTTCGGGAAACCTCCGCGACAACCGATTTCGTAGGGGGTAGGCCAAGGCTCAGAGGCAGACATTTCCCTGGCAATATCCTCATCTGTTTGATTCAGCAACTCTGCCACAAGTGCCTCCAGTTCTTCCGGACTAGACTTGTGTATCGCTTCCTCTGTTATGTCCAGAACCTGCTGGATGTTCTGAGATTGATTTCCTGCGCTTAGTCCTGGAATTTCAAGGGGGTTAGTGGATAAAAGTAAGCACTGTCTAGCATATACCATAGATAATTGTGGCTCTGGCATAGTTCCGCTTCAAGTTCTTCAGCGGATAGCCCAGAATCTCATTGAATGTCTCAGCATACGGTTCGGGTTCGTGCTTGATGGCCATTCGATACCACATAGAGGCACGTAAAAAGTCGCCTTCCCGGTGCTTGTGCTGCCCCAGGGCCAAGCAGTCCCGAATGGATAGTTGAATGCTGCAAAGAGTTGTGGTTTAACCTTTGTTTCGTGATCTTTGTTATGCGATATTAACTCGTATTGCTTGTCCTGCAGTCGTCCATTTGCTAGGTCATAGGCCTGCAGCCCGTAGATTGTTTCTATTCGTTTCATGCCCGCCAGAGCCTCTTTCATATCCTGACTATCCGGAGCTTTGGCCAGTAGATTATCCAGATATTGTAGTTGGTCTGTAGGAAAGGTATTTTTTAGACTTATTAGAAGTCATGAAAGAAATTCTTACCCTTCCCTACAGTCGTATTTATGTAGTGGTGCCATTTGGGCCAATCCTGATGTGTGCGTCTCATCAGTCCAAAGGCATTCAGCGGATTTGATACGTATTTCTCGCGTTCAGCTACGCTTTTTTCCTTGCCATGATCCACAGAGTCTATAAAACTTTGGAAATGATGGAATTAATTAATGGTTACATCGGTTTCCATCACTTTCACTCACTCTTGTAAAGTATTTGCTTTCGCGGATAGCAGTTCTGTGTAGGTCTTTAGGTTCTCTATAAACTGCATCTCTAACTCCAGCAGCTTCAACAATCCCACTGTGGAGGAGCTATAACGTTCTTTCTTCTCATCGTAGCGTGGATTTGCCACAGTTTGACCGAAAATCAGCAGAGCTGTGATCAAGTTCAGGCAACGTTGCATTATTACTGATTAAAGGCTCTAAAAAATATAATTTTAAGCCAACAAATTAGCTACGCAGATTGGAAATAGTTTAAACTTTATTTGCATGCCATTGAGACAGGAAAAATTACAATTTAAGACTTTCGTTCCACTAGCTGTCGACGCAGACAGCAGGGTTTCAGAAACATTTGTGGCCATTGGTGTAGCCATTTTGTAACCGCTGTAAGCAAGCAATGCAATGAGCTGAATACTGAGAAGAAGGGTTTAGCGTACACTTACTCCATCTAGAACCAGCTATGACAGGGCACACACCATGCAGTGAGCGCGGATCTGGTGTCGAGTCATCGAATGTGTTGTACCAGAACAAACTGTTGCCCTTCTGCGGTTGGACCGTCACCTGAATATCGGGGAATATCGTGGCACCACCTTGTGGCACTTCGCTGGCCTGCAAGGGAATTCAAGTCTTAATTTATGTGCGAAAAATAATGCTTAATGACGTACATAGATGATGAGGCTGCCGGTGCGATCGCCCAACGGGGAGGAGTCCGCTTCTGTGATGCGATCGGTGAGGTAGTCGAAGTGAGCCTTGAAGTACGAGCCCACACCAAAGTTGGCCAACTGCAGGGCTTCAAAGTCACTCACATCGAAGCCGGTCATGTCGCTGATGCGGAGATTCAGTCGCTCCCTGAAGGGCGATGGATCGACCAGCCATGCAACGCGTGCCACAATTTCGAGGGGCTCCGAATTGTTCGCCATGTCCGAGCCCGACAGGCCATTGAACATGGGCTCCGCCAGATTATTCATTTCCTCAATTTCCCGATCCGATAGGACGTTGTGGTACATGACTATATAAGGATCGTGGTTTATCTCCTCCATTTTCAGCGGTGCCAGTCTCAGGAAAGGTGTCGTAGTTGAGTTGTATCGACAGACGAGATTTGTGCGCTTTGGGAAGAGTCCGCGACACCCAAACTCGTGAGCTGTAGGCGGAGTCTGTGGGGTGCCCATATCTTTGGCTATTTCCTCATCGCTTTGTGCGAGATAATAGCCAATGAACTCCTCCACATCTCGTGGACTGGACTTGTTTAGAAAGTCGCTGGCTGATGCGTCAATTGTTTCCCTGCTCATCGCTTGATCCGATAAACCAAGGCCTGTCAATAGAAAGCCTATAAATTATAGCACTTAGCATGCTCCCTCTGATTGCTTACCGCGTATGACCATGGTTCGTGCAAACTGTAGATCCAAACCTTCGCGTGGATCTCCCAAAACTGCGTTGATGAGCTCCGCATTGGGCTCTGGTTCGTAGCGCAGTGCCTCGCGATACCACATGGAGGCGCGTATGTAATCCCCAGTTTCATATTTGTGCTGTGCCAAGGCCAAGCAGTCTCTCACGGACAGATGAGTGCTGTTTAGAGGGTTGTATATTTACTTGGGAATATCCTTTCGATCGATCGCACTCACTCGTATTGTTTTTGCTGCAGCAGACCGCTGGCTATGTGACTGGCTGGCAGATCATAAGTTCTCTCAATGCGATCCATTGACTTGAGCGACTCTGTCATGTCGTAGGAATCTGGAGCATAAGAGAGAAGCTCTTCTATTGCATTCAGCTGTGCCGTGCCCAGTGGCTTCTGGGTGTAGTTCTTCCATTTGGGCCAATCCTGTTGCAGGCGACGGATCAGTCCGTAAGCGTTGAGTGGATTGGAGACAAACTTTTCTCTTTCCCTGTGGCTTTCATGCTGGCCACGATCCAAGTAGTTGATGTACCTGAAAGTAGATACAAATCCATCAGTTTTCCAATTTCCCGAGGGTCTTTCTTTTACTCACATTTGCAGGTTGTCCACCTTCTCCTGCAGCACATCTGCATGGACTGTAAACTCCTCCATGAACTGACGCTCAAGCTCCAAAAGATGTACTAAACCCGAAACCGAAGAACTGTAGTAATCTTTACCATAATTTTCTGGATCCACAGAGTCACAGCTCGGGACTAAAACTATAAGACAAATGAAGCCAACAATTCGGAACATTTTACTCTAGTAAACAAACTTAAACTGGTTAAAGAAAAGTAAACATTAAGTTGCAAAAAGCTTTGGAAAATTCAGCATTTCACGGTCATCATTTGCTGATTTAGTCACGCGGTTTTTTCCTGGGTCTGTGCAAACCTTTGGGTGTGCTGATGCAGCCACTTGACGAGCGCTAAGAATGAAGTTAAATTAAATTAATTCAAGTAAAAGCTACGAAAACGTACTCCACTTGGAGCCCACAATGACAGGGCATGAGATGTGTGCCACACGTAAATCGAGTTCCGAATTATTGTACAGATTATGCCAGACCAGAGCACTGCCTTTACGCGGCCATACTGTGATTTCAAGTTGTGGAAATGAAACGGCGCCACCAAGCTCCACATCATTCAACTAAATTTGGGAGCTAGAAGATTAAAGACAGCAATAGAAAGTTTATAAATACCCACGAAGTACGTGATTGTTGTCTGATAATCCCCAAAGCCAGTCTGAAGTAGAAAATTATTATGATAACTTTAAATTCTACTTTGTGGAAAGCATAACAATACCTTTTGCTCCTCTTTGGCCAAGTTATCCATATGGTAGCGTATATAGCCACCTATTCCATAATTGTAGATGCGAAAATCCTTGTCTTCTTTTACTTTCCCACCCGTCATATCCCTAACGCGTTGATTTAGTTGGCTGTTGGGCTCCTCATGCACCGTAGTGAACTTCAGATTATATTCCCGTCGCTCTCTATAGCGTGAGGTACCCTTCAGCGCAGAGAGTGGCAGCGTCATGACACGCGAAATCTCCTTATCGTAAATGGCATCGTGGTAGATGGCTATATAGGGTTCGAGGCTAAGCATCTCCACTTTGAGCGGTGCAAGCCGCAGGAAGGCTGTTCTTTTAGTCTCGTAATGACAACTGCCATTTGGGATGGGTGGAAATAAACCCAGACATCCGATCCTTTGATTGTTTTGCTCACTTTTGACATGCTGTAGGGAAAAAACCAAAGAAAGTAGGAAGCAATAGTGTAACTTTCAATGCAAAAACTTACTTTATTATCGTATTTCTGCAGTTCCATTTGATGCGTGATTTCACGCTGAAGTTGCCAGAGATCAGCATGCAAATCGGATACATTCTTTAGTAGCGTCAATGCGGCTGGGCCCAAACCTGTTTGTGGTTAGAAAAATCCTTAGAAAGGCAGTGAAGTTTGGTCAAAACCAGGCCTACCTCTTCCTGCCAAAGAACGCGCATAGTCGCCATAAAAATCGGATAATTTAAAGTTGAAAATATCTCTGTAGAGATGACCATCTCTGGCCTCATCGTAGCGCTGTAGCGCTGCCGCATACCAATCGAAGGACGCATGCAAGTGTTGGTTATTTTCATGGAATCTAACCATAGCCAGACAATCTAGCGTTGTCAGGTTAGCGCTGAAAGGGAACTCAAAATGAGATGGTATATAAATAAGCATTAAACCTACTCATATTGCCGTCCATTCAACACTCCATTGGCCATATCCGTTGGCTCTAGATCATAGTGACTCTGAATGGCTTCTATTCCGCTGAGAGCATCTTCCAGATCCTGTGCCGTTGGCTTGGCCACATCCAGTACGCTCTGAATAGCATTGAGCTGATCCAAAGCCACTTGATGTGACATAAATAGCTCCATATGGCTCCAATCTTCATGTAGGCGACGTATAAGAGAGAAACTAGCCAACGGATGAGCAACTAATTCATCCGGAATATGCCTCCAAGGCTCCCTTTTCAGTTGCACTTCCTCCAGAAAGCTGAGTGGAAGAAATCAGTTTATAAATTATGAGGAAATACCTTAAAAAAACCTCTCTATGGTGTTGATTTTCCACTCCAAGTCATTCGAGTATTTGTCTAACTCTGCGATAAAGAAACTTTCCATATCCACGAGACTCTTCATGGCAGCTATGGACAGAGCATGATCTGTCAAGTATTGCATTTGGCAGTGGGGCAGAGAGCCCACGAAGAACCACAACCAGTGCCACATGTTGCTAGTTTTGGGAAGCATCCGCCTGTCAACTGTTTGTAGAATTCTTTCCACTTCAAAGTCGAAGTTTTTGGCATGAAAAATGCTTTTGCTATGGTTTTTCGATCGTTTTTGAGTCTAATTAGTAGGTTTACTTCCGTACAGTCACTGCCATGATCAGGTTTGGTTTCTTGTTGCTTTTTTCAGCGCTGGCTAGCCGCACCCATGCTGAGGAAGCCAGGCGTTATTTGGAACCTTCCACCTTTGCATTTTCGGTATCAATAGAGGCCATGCTGCCGCTTTTGAAATTAAAGGAAAAGGTGGTGGCAAACCTACGCAGCTATGCGGAAACCTTGGAGAAGCAACTGGCAGATGTTCAACTGTGAGTAGATTTATATTTAATATGAAATCGGAAATAAACCAACTATTTTTAGAGCCATTCGAATGTATGAGGAGCTGCAAAGGAGAGCGAGCTTGAATGCCATGAACTTCATTCAACAATTCGCAGTGTTGCGTCACATGCATCTGGATTGGGTCAAGTGGCTAACAATAATGCGGCCCGATGCGGAAAGACTACAGATACAAATACTTCAGGAGCTGCAACCACAAATGCCCACAAATATGGACATTGTGGAGGCAATGAAAGGCATACAGCGCATACAGTACACTTATGATATGGAACCCGCCGACATAGCAATGGGAAAGCTACGCGGCAGACAATACAAGTGAGTTGTTGGATCAGTGTTATTAGAGAGTCCATTTACCTTAATTTATTCTTTTGCAGTTTCAAGCGTTGGGGAGCCTTTGATACATTCGTCTTTGGAGTTCTATGCCAACTTCAGGGGTACTACAAGGACGCAGATGCGTGGCTCAAGCTGACTCAGGACAGCTACAAGCGGCAAGATAATCCTATACAGCTGGCATTCCATCACTGGACGTATGAGCATGTCTTGGAGTACTTGATGCTTGCCAACATGGGCTTAGGTATGGCACATGCCCATTGATAAAGAGGTTTACCACTTCAAAATGATATGTTTCCAGGTAAATTTAAGACTGCTTTGGGGCATGCGAAAGAACTTTTGGTACTACAGCCCCAGGATGAATATATACAAGCTAAAGCACAAGAACTTTCCACGAAATCAGATGAGCAAAAACCAGAACCATCGATGCCCATAGATGTGAATGCGGAGCTAATCAAGAAGCTGTGCCGTCAGAATCAGTCATTGCCTGCTGGCAGGCTCCGCTGTCGTTATGTCAGGGGTGAGGCACTGCTCCCACTTAAAATGGAAGAACTTTCCCTTAATCCAGCCATCAGTTTATATCATGATATGCTCAGCGATGGAGAGCTTTCTATTGTTAAGCGTTTGGCAAGTCCGCTTTTGAAACGGAACAAAATAACCTACAGGGAAATTGACAGCTATACGGACTACATGGCCACCCGGCCATGGCAATCAGCAGAACTAAGTAGCTCAATGCATACGAAAATTGACACATTGAATAGAAGGATACGCCATTCCATACCGGGTGTAAGTTCCATTGAGTCTGAAAATCTGCAAGTCAGAAACTTTGGCATCGGCGGACACTTCTTAGAGCATGCCACAGCGGATAAAGATGTCATCACTGCCTTGCTTTATGTGGGTGCTATACACTTAAATTATATATGGAACCATTTATAATGTATAATTACAGCTGAGTAATGTCGAGCAAGGAGGTGAAACGTATTTTGCCTCTCTAAACCTACGGGTGCCTCCACAAAAGGGCTCACTTCTGGTGTGGCAAAGGACAGGCGATTCCCAAATTGAGTGTCCCGTCATTGTGGGAAATAAGTGGGGTAAGTTGGGAAACATTTTCTCTTGATATGGAAAACTGAATTTCTTGTTGTAGTTGCCACGAAACGGATCCAATAACTTATTTGAAGATCGGTAAAATCGGTCAAATATATAAAACTAACTATTCTTCATTTTCATTTCATAAGTCACAAATGCACATACCCTTTTTTCTGGGCAAGGTTCGTATGGCTCTCAATTTTTGTTGGAAAACAAATTTTGAAATAAAATTAAATGTCTGATTTTTATTATACAAATTAGAAAAAACGCTTCTGTTTAATTTGAATAATAGTAGTCGAAAGCCTTAGATCCTTTCATCAATAATGAATAAATACTTATTTATAAATTATAAAACTAAAAATATATATTGCCACACTACGACTACGCCGAAATATTGACACAAGACTTGCTGAAACAGCTAGAAATAAATGTAATCAAGCATGAAGCATACCAGAATCCTATTAGCCAAGCTTCCCAGCAAATGCTCCATTCAAATGGAGTGTGCCGACCAGTTTAAATCAGTAATTTGCCATGGTTAAAGTGTGCCTGTTCTTGCTGCTTCTAACTGCGGCTGGGGCACAGCTTCAATATGAAACCAAGACAAATGACGTTGCCGTATCCTTGGAGTCTCTGCTACCCATGATAAAGCTGAAAGAAGCCTATGTGCAGAATTTTGAAAGCTACAAGCAAGCGCTAGAGATTCAACTGAAGCAAGTCTATCGGTAGGCACAATTAACTGCGTACTTAAATCAACCAAATACTAACACGTTTCACATTTTACAGACTCATAAGACATACGGAGGATCTGTTGGAAGGAATAACAGCAAAGACTGGGAACAGTTTCTGGCAACAATTCAGACTCATCCGTCACATGCAGTGGGATTGGCAGCAAAGTTTGAAGCTAATGCAAAAAGTTTTGGGCGCCAAAGAGATTGCTTTTTCCCAAGAACGATGTCACGAGCTTCCCACTAGCATTGACTTTGAGGAAGCCCTAGGCGCCATTTATAGACTCCAGACCGTTTATAGCTTGGATCCCGCAGACATGGCAGGCGGCATATTGCGTGGCAAACGCTACAGGTAAGGCTGTGAAATCTCTCTGCTGACTGGCTTCAATTATTTCCATTCCTTTCCGTTTCAGTCGCAAGAAATGGGAACCAAACGAGTGCTTCATGTTTGGGCTGGTAAATCTGTACGTCAAGAACTACGAGACAGCCGAATATTGGCTGGAATTGGCACTCTTCTACTATGATGCACATCGCAATCCAAAACAGTTTGACACCATGGTCATGAAATATATTACCATTTTGGAAATGCTTGTTGAGGCCACAAAGGGATTTGGTATGCTAAACTTCAGTTTATCTATGAATATTAATTGCATTTTCTTTTGTTTTCGTAGGACGTTTTTCCGCATCTATGGAGCATGCCCTTGAGGTACTTTCCATACAGCCCGATCATCCGTATATGCTGCAGCTGTTGCCAAAGCTACAATTGCTGGAAAGTCAACCATTCAAGGGCGCCGAACCTGAGGAAAATTACGTGAAGCTTAAAGCCTTGTGTGCAAAGTCATATCCACGAAAAGTAAATGACGTGCACTGTAGTTACCTACGAGCCACGCCGTTTCTGCAGCTTGCAGCCATCAGAATGGAACAATTGACTAACGAAGCGAGCGTTAATATTTATTATGAGCTCTTCAATGATGAGGAAATGGAGGCATTGAAAAGCTTAGCTAGACCCGAACTGCAACGCCCAAAAGGGTCCAAGAATTCCACCTACAAGATAGCCCAGTTGTCGCAGACCAAAAATGACATCATTAGCACTGTGAATCGACGCATTCAGGATATCAGTGGGATGGACCTGCACGAAGAGGAAAAGCTACAAGTTATCAATTATGGCATGGCTGGCAAATACAATCTGGAAGACAGTGCGGGCTCTGCAGCAACAGCTTTAATATTTGTAAAGATTTTTTAACCTTTTTGGAGTTGTATTTTATTAATCCATTTAATTTCTTGCAGCTAAGCAATGTGCAGCAGGGTGCAGAAACAGTCTTTCCCTTTCTCAGCTTACAGGTGAAACCGCAGAAGGGTTCCATGCTGCTGTGGCGGAACGCGGATTGGAGCGTCTTGCATAAATCTTGCCCTCTAATAATGGGAAATATGTGGGGTGAGCAGATAGAAGCTACCATACATGCATGTATCAAAAGTTAACTTTAATTAATTTCAGTTGCAACAAAGAGGCTGACTTGAGAGGATCTAGGCGAATTTATCGTTTGAATGTATGTATTTTAACTACGTAAATTAATCCTGCATGCAAACTGAGGATATCTAAAGATGAATGCCATAAATTTGTAGGTAATATCTCTCTGTCATCGGGTTGAATCTATTTTTCAGTCTGCTAACCATTTAAGTCATTTAAGTTTTCTTTATCAACTGCGTCAGATGTTTTTCATGTTATCTTGATTGCCATTTGCCTTGATATATGTAGAATTATATTTCTAAAACAAATATGTGTTGGGAGAACTTTTAATGTGTCTACCATAAACCATTGAAATGGCCCAAATGCCATGCATTCCGACTGAATTATAATGACGCCACACTTAAACCATAAAAATGGCAAATTCACACTTGGCATTGGCGCTCGCACTCACTTTTTGTGGGTGTGTGTTGTGGGTCGGTCCAATGGATGGATGGATTTATATTGTATTGCTGTCTGTGTCTGGGTTTTCTGTTGCTGTTTCGGATTCAGGTTCAGGTTCTTATGCCACAGATGGCTGCCTTGGCTGCCTTTTGTCTTTGTGTGACTGTCTGTCTCGGGTCTCGGTGTTCGTTGCAATCAATTCCTCTTGAGCAAACAAATCACTTAAGGGTTTCTTTCTGGTCCGCTTGTTTGAGCCGACTGTCGACTGAAAATCAAATGCAGAAGCCATGTGATAATCGTAGGCGGATTATAATGCTTCTGCGCCAAACAATTTACGACATTAAAAAGCAATTTGTGCCAATAAACACCATTTGACAGGACGTCAATTCGACAATTGTTTGTTAACACGATTGTGCGGCATGTGGCAAACATCCTGAATGCCAGATACGAATGTAGCTGAAGACTGAAGGCTCTGTTTGAAATTGATAATCCCTTTTGTCCCGTCTGATTGCATCGTGTGCCTTGCGAACTTTGAGTTTAATTTTGGATCACTTTGATTACCATTCATATGGGTATTAAAATGTCATGTATGAATGGCTTTCTCTATGCCCCGTACACGTACCCATTCGCGTGCGCGTCACTGCACGCAATTTGTATTCATGGCGCTGATGCTGCTGGAGGATTGAAAATGGCTGGACGGGTCCATTGTCTATTTGGCTGTGGATTGGATGGAATGGGTTGCGTTTTTAACTGCAAGGAAGCTCACAGTCTGTCTGTAGATTAAATGTTGAAAAGTAATCAGAGTGATAGATGTGCGGGACATGTTATACATATATTTTATTTGTTTTTATTGAAATTCTTACATTGGTTACCTTCAATAGTTATTCACCTTTCGCTCCATAAATACTCATCACGTTTTAGACACATTGAGAATTCACTTACTCCGTCTTATGCTGACACTTGTCATGTCGTACATAAACCCAGACACAATAACCATTCCGGTATTCATGCATTTCAAGGTTAAGCTTTCTGAGGCGTCTGCCAAGCTATGTTAAACCTTATCTTGACAACTTGCCAGTCTCTCCTCTGAAGTAATACAATTTACTCAAGCAATCACACACATGTAGCCGTCAGCAGTCCATTGTTCCATTTGCTGTCAGGCAAACGCTGGCTGGCAGGATTGAGTCCTGGGTATCCTGCTTAAATGATTATTTTTATATTAAAGCCGAAACAGAGTTGAGGCTGGAGCTGGAGCTTTGCTGCACACGCACAGACTTATGGATTTCTATGCTGCTTCTGCTGCTGCTGCTCGGCTCGCATTTATTGTGCAGGAAAAACTGTTTTCATTGTGTGTAACAATTGATTTGGATTTCGCCTTTGAATGGCAGACAACTGAGTTACGAGAAATGTGCAAAATGGAAATAGAATGGAATGAAAATACACTCGTCACATCGTCTGGCTGGCAGATCTCACTCTCTCTCCCTCATGACAATCGTCTCTGCATGTTGTATGGCGCTTCATTTACTTTATGTCTTTTGTCTGGTCTTTATGTGAACATGGCTACAATTTGAATGAGTTGGTTGGTAGGTGGTCTGTGACGCTCTTTGCTCCTTTCTCCAGCACTTTTATGGATGCTCTGTCAAATGTTTCTGACTATTCTACTATTTATTATATCGCTACTTGATGGCCATTCGCCGAAAGCATTTTATGGGCTCTATCTCGCGCGCGCCTTCCGATTGTGCGTGTGGGATTATCAATCATGCTGCTGCCATAACACATCCAACGAAATGATCATTTAATAACTCTCCGCTAGACATTTATGAAGTGCCTACAAATTGCATCGGCAAATCCACTTGTCACAACCTGTTGGTTTTGGACACCATCGTTTATCACACAATGCGCAAAATGGCGGAACTAATGTGTGTTCGTTGTATGGAATATTTGAATTATTATTACAACGCATTAGGATTACCGTCGGCCATAATGAGGCGCTGGAACTAAGTGTCGAAAATGCCACTCAATTTACTGGGATCGCGCAGCGTGGGGCAGGCAGACTTTGAAGAGGGACGGACATGTCATTTAGCTGGTTTGTAATTTATAGCCGAAAAAAGGAAAATCGATTTGCGATATCCGATCTGACAGCCAGGCGGCTTTAAACTTAAAGCTACAATGGATGGGCAGTGCCATATTTTGTACTATTTGTCGTCTGGCCAGCGCTGTACATGGAGACGTGACTCCACAGCCTGGTGGATGCCATCAGCAAACTCTAAATACAATACAATAATTCTTAGATAATTTAGTTGAGACAACTTTCCCTTCCCTCTCTCTGTCTGTTCACTGAATTATGGATGCCTTTGTTTGGTATTTCAGTGCAGTACTTTCGCTTGAATTTTACATTTGGTTCACATTCCATGAACTGCGCTCGTTTTGTGCCTCGTTAGTTACCCAATCGACGAATGCTGCGCTGAGATGCTGCTTGCTCCTCGGACCTGTCTCTGTCACTGCTCTTAGACCAATTTGCTGTCTTTGCCTTGCCCTCGTCTTGCATGGGGCACACGCACTGCCGCTAATAATCCAATTTACACGTGTTGACTTTACGTGTTGTGACACTTGGCATTGGGTCTTTGTGAAGCAGTTGTGTGTTAGGCGAACACTTCCTAAAAGATTAAACTGCAAAACTCAAATACTTTAAGCCGCAGATCTCTTCATTAAGTGCACTTAAATCAAATGCAAATTGATTTATCCAACGAATCTTCAATGATATCCAATTTGGCAAATTCGTTCACAGACCGCTGGGTAATTAGCAAGTGGCCAGAAGAGGAATTGCTGTTATTTTTAACTTGTACGTCTGTCTATCCATCTGCTTTTTGGCTTCGTGCCACACCAAGCGGCACCGCAATAAATGGCTTGTGGCGTTGGGCGCGAAAGTGGGTGGATGGTCCGTCGTTATAGAGAATACAACTTGATTGTTGTGGCGTGGCTGCAATTAGAAATTGTTTGGCCAAGGGGGGAGTTATATTTTTTTGGCTACTTTAATGGGTGGAGCATACTCCAAATACATTTTTGATGATTGGCAATGGTTTTTGCTCTCAGATTCGAATTGGTATAATTTTATTTATAATATTTTAGCTTAACTTCTCGGTAAATGTAGCCATTACGATTGTCCTCTTTTCTGTGCATTATGTGTCTTTTAGTCTTCATGATTCATTCTAGCAATTCCGTTTCTTAGTTCACATGGTCCTCGACACTCTCACGAGTCGCTTCAGCAGCCGCCGCAAGTGTGCCTACTCGCAAGTGTGCAAAAATCCAGAGCCCCTACATTGTTGCGGTGAACAGAATTTGGCACCAGAATATTTATTAAGCCAGTGGGCAGTGTGGGTGATGAAGAACGATAATTTTGTGCTGGGTCAGGCCAAATATTGTAATTTTGTTTTATAAATTTAGCTATATAAAAATCCGCCGTCTGACTTTTCCACAAAGACTTTGATTGATTCTTTTACAGCCAATCAATCAACCCGTCAATGCCGTGGGCCACAAAGTTGGAACCAGAATCCAGACTTGAATGGACTTTTCGGTTGGCAGTGCCTAACAACAGATTATGCAGACGCTACCAAGGCATCAAAATACAAAATAAAATGCAAGTAAAACAACTAAATTGTGCCTTAAGATGTATAATTTTATTTAAAAATATTTACAGGGACTGCTATGCTGAGCATTGCTAATGACCACGCACGGTCCGTGCTGCACCTTCACGGAGCTCTCGCTGCGCCAGTCGCACTCGATGGGCACAAACTGGCCCTTCCGCATGACCGTCTTGGGCTTGGTGATGCCATAGCAGGCGTATTGAAAGACATTGCGAGAAATGGGCAGACACTGCTCATAAATCTCGACAATATCCGCGTGCATGCTGTCCACGGTGAAGTCCTGGCCGCAGTGCAGCTGCTGGTGGATGTGCAACTTGCTGCGGCGTGTGAACTGAGTGCGACACCGACGACACTGGAGCGGACGTGATGGCGAGGTCGGTGATGATGTTGCTGGCGCTGACGACTGGCCTGATGCGGAGCCCATTATCGGAGTTGGCAGCTCGTGCAGACGCTGGAACTGTCCCATGATGTTGTTCAGAATGAGAAAATTCTTATTTGGAAGCTGTTGCAGCGTCTCGCTGATGTGGTACGGCACCACATAGAGCTCCTTGGTGGTCTTGCACTGCTGCAATCCGTGCAGATTGACGCGCATGTTGGGTGGAAAGTAGCCGAGGCACTCCCGGTAATGTTTCAGGTAAGCGGCCTTCAGGCTGGTTAACTCAGCGTCGCTGGTACTGGAACTGGGACTGACATTGCACCCTCCTTCCTCCTGCCTCAGCTGCAGGGGCAGGGCGAACGATGATTCCATGGCTGGGGAGTCGGCATCCTGTCGCTGGCGCTTCACCTGCACTCGAATTCTGGTAATGCTGCACTCATCCAGCCCATACTCACTGCTGCAGCTCAGATAGTTCTCGATGCGCTGCATAAGCATCTCGTACACCACACTGACACACTCCTCAATGTCATAGTGATGATCCACGCGGAGGTTGCCGCTCTGAAAGACCAGAACCTGGTTCATCACGTTCACATAGCAGGCCAGATTGAACTCCACGCTGAAAGTGTTGTTGTGGA